TTTTGAGAGGGGTGATGCGGTGGGGTCTACTGTATCTTTCACAGGGTTGGGAATAATGGCTGCTTGCAATGTCCTATTACCTATTTCACAATTAGTCTTAGCGAGATAGTTGTATGTGCGCCTTTCTATGACTGTTTTGTCCACCCCGACCTTTATATGTTTGTAGTTTCTGGCTTGCGATAGGGTGTGTTGGGAGTGGATGAATTTTCTGGTCTCTGCCGGTGTTTCGAACTGAAAACGAATAGGACAACACTTTCATGTTGACTCTTCTTCAGCCTATAGCACTTAGTCTTGGAGTTAGGCATTTTCGCTTCACTAAGTAAGATGCGCTGTACCTTTTTTAGTGCCTCATTGTCCGGAACGTTGTAGACAATAGCACTCAGTTTTGCGTCGAGTCGTTTTGTTACTTCTGTGGTAACAAAGTTAATGAGGTTATCTACCTTAGTTACCGATTCTGTGTCAAGCTTGTTAAGGTTTACAGTTTTCATGAGGATAGTTAGAGGTGTCAGTTCACAGACCTGCGATCTGATATCGCTGATCTGAACTAATAATAACGTATATTCTCATATAAACATATAAATTTACATGAAAATGCGTGCCATTTTTACAGGCACGATCAAGTATGATATAATATCAAATCGTAGATTGTCTACAAGTTAATAATGTTTCAACAGTTAAATATTTGATATATATATATAAATACACTATTAATACCAGTAAAAAGTTTGAGCATTGTGGATTAGATCAAATAAAGTATAATTATATTTTAATAGTTTACACACAATGATAAGTTATGTTATTGGTAATATTTCGAGCAAAATTGCTGCCCGTGTTCACACTACTGTTGGAATTGTTTTATTCACACATTTATGATTTGTACTCATATATAGTTCATTATTATTATTTTTTGTTCATTCATGTTTTGTGTGTGCATATGTGTGTTCAGAAAAATATAATTATACTTTATATAAATACACATTGTCTGAACTAGGCTGTATAGTTATTGAATTGTACAATTGTCCTCCAGGTTGAGCGGGAAAATGGACTTCGTTTCGTTTTCATAATGAAATATAATTCAAAAATTCTGTACACAACAAAATTATGTATGAAAACTGACTTCAAGCTTTATTTTTTTTCCCAGGCACTTATAACCCATCCACCAAAGACCTGGTTTGTTTGTTAATCCGAAGGCAATACTTCTGTATTTCCTGATGTGTTGCACTCAACGACAATCTAGCGAATTTTTCCAACTATGCACAGAAACGATTTTATATAAGTGAAAAGGATGTTTTATACTATTCGGATTAACATTTATCAAGTGTATGTATAATCTCCAGTGTACATGTTAAACATATTTTGCTATCGACTGTAAATTGTGACTGAATAATATGGTCCTATTTCTGTAACAATTTGATGATGCCTGTAAACTGGCGTCCCTCATGTACTGCATCATGAGAATAAATTTATTTATTTATTTATGATCTGATGATTTGGATATCTCCTTAATGGTTTCGATGTTTCCAGCATTTACCGACTTATTGTTTTTTATTTCCCTTAACTCAGCCTTAAGTTCTCTTATAGACAACCTTAGAAGTTCTATTTCCGAAGATGTTACTGAAAAAGAGCTTGATGGCTGGAGTTTTTCGATAAGCACATAAGGTGTAGGGAGAAGTTCTGTATGAGCAGAGGGTACTGAATTTTTAGGAGTAGAGCTAACGCTAGCTGTCAGTACAGTTTTATCCCCAGTTCCAGCTCGACGCTTACGGCATACAAGTGAATTATGTGACTCACTATAGCAGTTTGTAGGGGTTGTGTTGCTTGATGTAGCAATCAATGACGTAAAACTAGACACCAGTTTTATAGGGGATTGGATTCGTTGCTTTTTACTTTGATTAACCATAACTATTAGAAATGAGAGTTTATGCTTACAAGTATGGAAGTAGTATAGTACTTGTGCAAGTATTACAACAAGATTAATTTTATGTAACGAATCACGTAAAAATGTAACGCAAACGTTGATCGTACCGCGACACATGCTACGTATATGCTGGTGTTAGAATAAAGAATTCTCGAGTCGCCAATCAGTGTTTTGGTTTTTGCGTCCGTTAGTACTAAGCGTTTCTGAAAGGCGTCGAGGGACAGCGAGAGGCCTGGCGTAGCAAGAGCTGGGCACAAACGAATTTGAGACGTGATTGACATAGTAAGTAAAAAATCTCCCTCGCATTGCGTCTAATGTATGTTTAATATACTGGGAAACTAGATGGCTAAGCGTCGTCTCATATTTCCACCTGGTTTCCAGGCACGACTGCTTAGTGGTCATCTATCCAGTTAGACCTTAATTTTAGCCACACTACTTACGGACTCTTTGGCCTCTATCACCCATAATGCTGTTTCACTGTGTGATACATCTAATATTCAAACTAATATGTATCACCCAAATTGGTGGCCACGCTGTTCATAGCACCACGGTTCAACTAGCGAAACGAGAATATAACAGCTGAAAGATGTATTTACTGACGATGATTTGGTGGGAATGTATGCGAAGATAATCCCACCACAACGAAGCCGTTGAGGTTTTGTCCCCTCAAGGTGATATTTTCCACATAGTCTTTGAATTAGCTCGGGTTAACAAACTGATATTTGACGGTGAAACGTCTGAGGTTCAATTGAGTTGACGGACATTTTTGACCCCCTGACCACTTAAATGTTTGCAGCCACCCATAACATGTGAACGACAATAAACAAAAGTCCACAGCTAAGTCCCCCTCCCCAAATAAAGGGGACAATAAAGGCTCAGAGAAATGCGAAGGATAGCTGTCGGAGGTACTATCGGATATAAATGCTGGTTGTGTAATGATAGGCACCAAGTGTTGTATCCATACACTTTGAGTTATCCTGTTGTTGTGGGCTATCCAGACATGGTATAGAAATTGCACAAAATCATCAGGACAAATTCAAAATACCATGAAGAAACCCTGGTATATCGCAAACTTATCTCTGTAGGAATTTCCAACAGAGGAGAATAGTTAAACTGCACTTCAGCTTCTAATTCCTTTCGGTATGTCACTTACAGTTTACTCTTCAGAGCAACTTTTACAACAAAATTCTCATCAAGGCATACAATCTTATATATTAACACAGTTTCTGTGAGATCATACTGAGAGTTAACAAAAGATGATTCTGACTTTAATCACAGGTAGATATGAAAAAGCCCATGGAATGCTTCAGCCTTGTAAATCGGTTTAGGATTAGTGGGATAAGTAGGAAGAGTAAACAACGAGTCGTCAATTTAACCAAGATCTAGATATAACAGTTAGACTTCGCTATAATTACACACCAGCCGATCTTACATCTCGTTATTTTAACCGCAGTGAAATGATACAAAATTCAATGAATAAACAATGACATCTGATATTATAATGAAACCTTCGGAGTCTCGAATAATGTTTCAAATCTAAATTGCAAGGAACTGATAAACAAAACAAAAGGCCGAAGTTAGGACTACTGTTACTTAAAATATGGATAGAAGACTGTGAAATGGAGTGGTCGGACAAACTTCTCTTATGTACACAGTTCTGAACTTCCTCTTTCGATACTTGAAGCTTTGGTGATGTATTCGAGTTGGATAGCTATTGATTTCAGCGAGCTATATTTCCACTTCTAGACAATCTAACGGTTGAGTTTCATAGACAATTTGACCAGTGTCAATTTTAAGGCTTTCTATAGCTCCATTCTCCCCCGTCATAACAACATATGACATTGTCCTCGAACACTTAATGAGTGGCTATTGACGAACTTAGACTATACCTAGCTATGCAGTAGCAGTTGAAAGGTACACATGCGCAGAATTGGTAAAATGCAAGATATTGCACCTTGGGTGATTAAAAAGTAGTGGCCAACAAGGAAGGACCGTTTTTCATGGCGCTTCGGCTAGGTCCTTCATTTAAAATGTCATAACCTCTGAATTCAAGGCCTTTATTTCAAGTTACAGTGCATTAACCGCACTGCATAAATAACGTGGCGGATATCCATTCTTAATTAGGATTTTAGTTATGAAGATTCAGCTCTCCCTCAGCAGCATTAGGGTTTAGTGGCTAAAGGTATTGGCATTCAGGGATAGTACGAAATATACAAACGCAAGATCTTACACCCACAACTTCTGCAGTATTCGTTCCGCATATATCAAAGGCTAAGTAAAACACCAGAATTTACCAACCAATATACTAGTAATATTTCGGGACCAAATCGGAGTGCGGGATGATTGCTTAACTAGCTGTGGATCGTTCATGAACGAACGAACGTGACGCGACGTTGTACCAAATGGCGTGGATGCTTGACCGGAAGCCTTTAGCTAAACAAGATGACTTAAACAGTGAGGATCAGCATCCAATTTTCACTGATGAGTGCTGTGGCTGACAATTCTGGGAAATTAACTACCACTGCAAGGGCTTCATATGTATCGAATTTGACTAGCGAGAAATTCAATCAGATTACGTTTGTGACCAGCGGGTACTGAGCTTCGGATGGTTATTCCTTTTAAATTTTCTGTAATCCGATCTTCACTGGGTTCCATCACGCCCACATGAATACCTTACATTAAGCATATTAATATTAAACGCGTTCTCCAGTCAGGTATGAATCGCATCGATGTGTTGCGGTCATCAGATGAGTTTGATATATTATTCGAACTGAATTCATCGTCACGAATAATAAGGGTGTCACTTACATACATCCTCTACAGTTAGAAGCCTGGGATTCCCTCCGAAGGAATTCAGTTCACTTAGTCGTATTACGTAAAACAAAGCAGTGGCACTCGAGATTGTAGATTTTATCAGGATCATTCAAAAAATTGGAACTGTTTTTAAATAGCACTGAGTGGGTACCAAGAAATCATAAAGTCTACGTAAGCCTGTTAAATAGATATTGTACATTGAATTAGTTACCATGACTCTAGAGGGAGTGGATATACGAAAGATTTTTCACTACAACTCTGAGCGTAAATGGTTAGTTTATGTATCATTTAGAGGGACCGAACTTGAATCAAATTCTTAAAACTATTTGTAACATTCGTTTCCTTATAAAAAATAAGGTGCATAAAGTTGTATACGATCAACCCTAATAAAAATATCGAGTAAATTTCAGGACTAATTTTGGGTTTGTCCGGACAAAGGGTGAAAATTCTCAATATTTACACTATGTCAACCCAAATTTGTTAGCTGGGGAGCTTACAAATGATGGTCGTAAATTCCGAATGAACGTTAACTGTGCTAGTCAGATTCTCAAGTAACCACATATTCTAGACAAAAGAACTCTAGAGTTCTTTTGTCAGCACAGCTGTGCTATTTTCCCACATTAATCCAGTGCTTAATGGCATTTGTTCAGAATTTTAAGCTCTATTTACATACTGCATAACATAATTTCCGCAATTCTTGAGTCTATGCTGGCGAATTTCAAGTAGTAGTACAGCATTTACCGATTCCATTTCCAAGCTGACTGGTATTTTCAACGTACTGAAGTGATAATAAATGTCATTTTGGGATAATTAGCCACACGAAATTTCATACTTTTGAAAGTCCAATGCACATCATGGAATTATAATTCCATGAGTATACTCTTTCTTTTCGACTCTTTTCATTGAAAATTAATTTTACATTAGAAAAATACAGTTTCACTGTTGATAAGTCAAGTTTGGTCCACAGATGCCATTCTGAAAATGGACAAAATTCACAGTCATTTTTGGAAGACATGCGCCGATAAGATTCTTAACATTTACGTTGAGAATGGTGAACTTACACAACTACTCCTGTTTCCTCCAGAGATTATTTCAGGTGCATATATATATATATATATATATATATATATGTAACTGGTATGATGTGTTGCATAAGCTAATAATTTTTATAGTCCAATATATTTCTTGTAGTACTGTTTGATTTCCCTTCTGTATACGCCACTGAAGTTGACGATATCGGTCTACCGCTGAACTCCGTCATAATTACACATACATAAATAATAATCCCGCCATTCAACGAAACATCTCATTATTATTTTAACGAAACTATAAGTCACAATGCTGAGCTTAGTCATAGTCTCCTGATACGTATATTTCAAACCTGGTCCATATGATTAAAGCTAATATTGATTCCATGGTTCTGCTCAGATTCCATTTGGCATATTAGTGTTTGAGGTTTTGCTTGTAAACTCCATTTGCTTATCTTAGGGTTGTTTGGCGCGTTAAAATAGAAGCGGATAATTGGCCCTTTACGAAAGTATTAATTAATATCATTTTTTTCCCTCAAGTTCCCAGTGGAAAATAGAGCCTCAAGCTAGTAGCTTGGAGTTTCTGTAGCAGTGTTTAATTTTACAGGATGGGGATGCTAGCCTCATGCCCAATCTTTCCTCTTTACCGGGATTATTTCTGGCTTAGCGAGGTAAAGGAGTGCGTCGACCGGGGATCGAACCCCGGACCATGTACATGGTCGGCGAGCGTTTAACCCCTTTGCCACCGACGCACATTAGCACACAGTAATTTGACTGTTGGTTTATCAGCTATCACCACTGAAGCAAATATTTAACGTTAGAAAACAAGAGAATTTATTCATTGTATACTGTCTAAAATTTTTAGTATCTCTGGTATCAGCAGGTATTAACAGCCAGTGAAAACATTAGTTTCTGCAGTAGAAAGCAGGGATGAAAGAACATTTCATGTGTTACTTCATAAATGACCTTATATCAACACTACCAAAGGTTATATGCATTCGTAAATGTCAGGCGAGCCTTCTATGTTCGTCGTGTAATTCCACTATAGCCAATAAACCTTTATAAACAAGTGGTCAACACATCCGACCAATTCATTTATAATCCTTTAACAATGCATCAGTGTAGACTAGTCTCTAATCATCATCTTACATTTAACAAGTTCGGAGCAAATGCTTAAAACACTGAAGGCATTCGGAAATGCCAGCTTTTTATGAGTGTTCATCTTTAAGTGCTACATCGTATTTGTACTCTAAACAAACCCTTAATCACAAGCGTAATAGAATAATTTTACTTGATAAAACATGATATGTATCCACATATATATATTTGTGTGTGTGTGTGCATGTTGGTCTCTCTTTCTGTTTGCTCGCTTAGTCTGTGACCATTTCACTTGTGTGAACTTGTCTCCTTTATCAATGTATATTCTCCTTATATTATATTATATATAATATGAGTGTTTGTTGACATATCTGCTATATTCGCTATGTATATTTGAATCGACACTCCATTATAATTAGCCATTCATGTTAAGACTGTCTAATGATTTTTTCCCACGCTTTGTCTGGAACATTCATATATATTTCGCATTCACAATCTTGTGACTTTACTTTACAACTACTTTACTTACTTACCACTTTGGTGTGAGACCATTTATTTTCGTCTCCTTGTGTTTGGAATAGAAGTATCATAGCAAACCTAGTGGTCTTCTGATTTCCGCCTTCTCGCGTCAGGACTATTAGTTCCTCGACCAGTCCATAACAATAATTTAGCGACGAGTACATAACAATTTGGCGACGGGGAAAACTAGTACATAACAAAACACTACTAAATTATGGGACCGTACTCCACTACAATGTCCAAATTTTATTCTTACATGAATGAAAACCACTGTAATTTCTGCAACGAAATCTAATCAATACAGCCATATTGCATATCCTTGACGTGAACATATCGTTATCATCACTTTAGACGACAATTCTCCAAAGGCTCTTACATGGCTGTGTATGTTGGAGTAGAGGGCCTTTATTAACACAATATACTTTCGCAGCATATATTTTACATCTAGACACTATCACAAAACCCATCGTTCCATAGAAAGAAGGGTCACCCTTATACCAAGAAACATAGCAAGCTTGTGGCAATGGTTACAATGCCTGTTCAAGAACTCAGTAGAGGAAGAAGGTACGATTAGCGTACTTTTATCTGAACCTGAATCGTGCACGGTGTTTGTCAATAGCTGTTAAGTCTTTGTATAACCATCGACAAGTTGATGCCTATCGTTAGAGCAGAAAGATTTGTCTCGTTTTTATAGACAATAATAATCACTTTATTCCACAAGAATGATTGGTGCTGCCTCCAAGTTTTCAACAGCACTAACAAAGGTTGGAATCATAAACTTAATAAAATTACCTATATTTCAAATGGAAAACAAATACTTTAATTGTTTAGATGCATTGTTTAAAGGTTTGTTAGACGAAATGAACGGACTGTTGGTAAACGCGAAAGAGGAAAAAATAAACAAAGAAAATTAGAAGGATTATCGTGTCGCGAATAAACCTGCAAATCCCTACATATTTTTGGGGTGACTAATTTCAGCTTAGGTTGTTGAGATAAAATATATGAAGCAGATAACAAAGTTGTTCAAGATAATGATATTTTAACACCACTCATTAATCTCTGAGTGATACTTCCTAGTTTTGTTTTCAAACATTCTATATAACAGAACTATATGTTTTAAACTTTTGGAAGTTAGGTGAAGTTCCAGGGTTAAAACATCCAAAGTCAACGTAAAACGTATTCGTATGGATCTTCACTTCAGCCTGTGGAGAAATGCCTTAAACTGTGTACAACAACTTCATCTATGCTCTCAGAAGAAAGTTTGAAGTTTGTCACGTTTTAAAAGATAATCAGTCAAATATCGGTGATTACTTTAAATTGGTTCTAATTTATCATGTTAACTGATACTGAAAATGTACATCACGCCTAAATTTTATCATCAAAATATATCATGGAAAGTAGTTATAGCCGATATGAGATGTGGAAAATCTGAATAATTTCCGAATTGCAAATATAAGTATTGCTTTCACATACGTCAAATCTAGAAATGATTAACAAAACTTATAAAGACAATAAGTATCACAAATTTCAGTGACTGCGTAATAATCAAAGGTATTGTTGTGTTGGATACACAGTGATAAATGTCGAAGGCTTAGAAACTTATTACCTAAAAAGACATGCTCACGTTAATAACTAACATTTACGTTAGCTAGAAAGAAAGGGTGTATTAAATAAATGACCGACACATTTTCCCATATCATTTTAATACAACTAACAATTAATTTCTATGTTTTTTGAAACTTAGTTCGATGAAATTATATTCTAAATTACTAAGAAAATGTTGAAAAGGCTCGTATATATATATATATATATATATATATATATATTAGGAATTGGGATAACTGCTATAGCCTTTTCTCATTCAGTAGCACATAAAAGTGACAGTGAAAATGATACGTAACTTAATTCGAAAATTTCCCTTGGATAAATAAGGAATGTGTGATTGCATAACTTCTAATGAATAAAAGAATTGCTTAATGGAAATCACTTCTGAATCTTTATTTCAGCCTAAACCTAGAGGAAAATCAAAGGTGAAGAGAGGAAAAAAGAGAAAATCCGGGAAGATCAAACACAAAAGTGGTGACTCATCTCGACAGAAAAAGATTAAACAGGAAATTGACATATTGGGTAAAATAGCTATGGAGAACTTGTACTACATCGCTCACAATGCTCCAAGTGCACTAGTTTACCGTGGATTTCGTTGGTCAGGAATGAAAATGAAAAAAGGGAAAGGCAAGAGGAAGGGTAGGAGGAAGAGAAGAAAAAAATGATTGCCCTAAGATATGCACAAATTTTAATTTTTATACAATATGATGCTGCTAAGATATGACTTTTTGCTTATATATTCGTTCACTTATTTCTATATTTGCAATGCACTTTCAGATTATATCCGCAAAAACAGTCTTTCAGAATGATTTACATAGTTCATAAATAAAATTAAAATAAAAAACACTGTGCGCTTTCTTATAATTACACACAAATTAAATGTATGATTAAAACATTGCATATGCTAGAGGACTGAAATCCCTTATTTCTGGAGTAATTCATCGCCCTGAACTTTCGTGTCACTCTCCAGTTTGATCTTATTTGTGGACCAAATTGAGTCACATGTCCATTTACTTTTCTCATAAGTTTTCGGACACTACATTATGGTTCTTTTACTATTCATTTTGATATAAATTCAATTTTGTAATTTAAACTTATATATAACAAGAAGCTTTTATAAATAGATAGAATATATCAAAGATATATTGATATAACTGTTCAACCTTTCTCACAATACTTCCAGAAACAGCAACTACTAAGTAGCATTATGAGGCTAAAGAAGAAAGCGATCACACCACTGATAAAATTTTCTTACTTAGTATCACCACCTGCAAGAGGCTAGCAGACCCATCCTGTAAAATAAACACTGCTACAGAAACTTCAAGCCACTAGCTTGAAGCCCTGGGGAACATGAAGGAAGAAAATCATCACCTGCTGAAGAAGTTTACTCTGAAATGAGGTTAAGGTAAGTGGTAGATTAGCCAATGGATGAAAAAACCTAATTACGACGGGAACCTAGTGAAATTCATTCTGACATTTTTCAAGCTGTAAATACGTAAAAAAAATGTCAAATATTCATACTCTGAGAGTGACAGAGGAAAAATTAGCACATTCCACTCAGTTCTTGGTGGTTCACACAATATCTCGCCTGCTCTATAAGTGGAACAACTTGGTAAAAGTCACACAAGCCATTTAAATCCAGCCCTAGGTCTTGTCAGCGAGCAACCGATTATAGCTGTCTGATTTTCTGAGTGGAATGGTCGATGCGTCCAACATTTGAACCTAAAATCAGCTGGTGTATTCATGTAAATTAATTCCAAAGTATTAAGTCACATTCAAATAGTAATAAAAGCATCTCAGACATTTCCTGAATGTCATTTGAAGTGTTTAGAGTACTTTGCTACTTCCTAGCGTTTGGATCACATATACTTCCTCTTACTTACAGAGGTGGACGTTACTCGCTGCTACGAAACAGAAAAGCCAAATGCAAATTATCTTACAGACTGAATTCAAGCATCTACTATATGACACTTTTGGACTGAAGAACTATTATTATGAACAATGAGAACTTGTCACTTGATAAGACTATATAATAACAATATATATTTATTCCTATCTATGTAGGAATAACTGAGGTACATAAGCTTCATGTGTTCATCCTAACACTGAACATCCTAGATATTTACATTTGTCTGCTACATGTAAATTAATGTTCGTATTATTTTTGAGATTTTTCTGACTATATATTTCTGCGAAGCTGTTAAGTTTCGCAACTTCGGTAAGTACACTACTAAGCACTTATTAGGACTGTTCAATTTATTTAAACAAATTCTTCCACTGAAGAACTACATGTTTAATGAAAATGGTATACACTATCATTATTTATGTCTAAAGTTGCCCTTGATTAGTGGTTTGTTACAGTGGTAGGTTTTTAAGCAACTCTGGGAATATACAGGTGAATTAAACTTCTATTTTCTTTTAATATTAGAAGTAAAAAATGATAACATTACACAAACACTGAATCAAAATAATAAAAATTCTTATTTGTCTGAACTTTGATCACAACACTGTTCAACTTTAGAAGATAACATCACAATAAGAAGATGAAATATCCACAAAGTGGTTAGTGTTGATGGGTCAAGAGTAAGCCCAAAACTTAAATAAAAGGGTAATTACAGTTATCTCATACAAAAATATAAGTACATATTGAAGTTTTAAAGATTTCATAACGTTTATAAGGAACATAACGATTGAGGGAGATGAAGTCCGAGAGGAGATGCAATTAAGCTTAACCACATGATTGTATATTTTAGCGGACTTATCGAATCAACAGATGCTGAGGAAAATACTTCAGCCATCAGTTCAGCAGTTTTACAAGGATGAAATTGATAGAACGGAATACCCAAGTGAGGATGCTCAATTTCACTAAGAGCGGATAAGGGTAAAGGGTTCATTGAAATCGGGAACGCAGAAGATCGTAAGTTTTCACACCATAATTTTTCATGCTGTAATGAACGGCCACTTTTTGTTTGAAAGCGAATAAGTAGAACAGGTACTTGGTAACTTTCGCTGTATACTACTCGATACTCTATAACAATTACGTCAGCCGATGAATCACTTGATTTTTCAATTGGAATAGATTTCCGACAGACCATCTCCAGTTCAACCGGTTGTTCTGCAAATTCATCAATAAACCATTCCTCAGTACTGTTAGAATTACAAGCCAAATGGTTATGTAAATCATGGACAGCACTTTTAAATGCTGCAGGGGTAATCTGACCAGATTGATGATGCCTGAAACAAATTTTTAAAATAATGAAAATACAATTTTACAGATTCGAAGGAGCCGAATGAAACATTAATAACAGTCCCGGTTACTACCATTTTCCATAAAACACAGTAATTCCATGCAATTTCTTCCATTTGGACACACAATACAGCATGAATCATTGCTAGCACACAGACCAATTTTATGATTATGCATAAATTCTTCATGCAGTCTACAGTGAACATAACGAGTCGATCTTTTGAAAGTGTCAAAAGAAAATGCAATATCAGATTATTTTAGGAATCTAAATTCACGACCCTTGACCTCATTCATTTGAGGTTTTCGGGCTTTATCACGAATAAATGATAGATTTTTTTAGCTGTCTGAAAACCAACTAGGCGAACAGCATAATATAGATAAGCTTGGAGAATACAGCGAAGTTTTTCATCATTAGAGTAATTAATAAACACTAAGACGCACTAAAAAAGTAAATGAAATATTGGTTAAAAGCACATAAGGAGGAAATATTTTTCAAATGAAAATATTGTTTGGTCTGATGGCCACCAACTTCAACTTAACAGTTAATCGATGCTAAATTATCATTAAGTAATAATCGGTTCCTAAACTAAGGACTAAACGATGAATAGCTAGACCAATCATCACACACCATACAAGTAAACAGTAAACAATGAATAGGGTTTAAATGATAAATAAGGTTTTTTTTTCTACGGAAGCGGTCAGAAACGTACTCATTTCTGACTAGAAACTTGAACATAGAACAAAAATGCCACTACAGAATATAATGCTAAAAGTGCAGTTATGCCTGACTTCTAAAATATTTAAATATTAAGAGAAAACATACAAAAAAGCTTAGGGAGTTGCCATCAAGTCGACAGTATCCCCGATATTGTCATATACATTCATTAATAGGTGGGAAAACCTAGCGATCGAAAAGTTTAGCCCCACATTCAAAATAGGTTGGGAATATATTGATAGCACATTCACCGTACTTGAAACACAGGACATAAATAGATTTCTCGAACACATCAACTCGAAGATAGAGGCAATTCAATTTATTTGTGAATTAGAAAGTTAGGAAATGGAGCTCCCAATGTTAGATTGCGGCATAAAAAGGAAAGATGGAAAGTAATAAGCCAGTGTTTGCAGAAAACCTACACATTCAAACCGATAAGTCAATGATAATACGATTGGTGAAATGTTTAAGTATTAGGGCACAAAAACTAAATAGTACCAAGGGAAATCGAAGACAAGAAGTGAGGCGTGTAAGAAAAATTTTGAAACTTAATAACTATCTTGATAAATTAATCAGGTAGTATGTAGGAAAATGTAAAAAACAATAATAGTGGCAATACTGACAATAGTTAAAATAATAACAGTAATAATGATATGCGTGACAAGTGTGTACAGAATGACGATAACAACAACAATGAGGAATTTAAGTCCTCAGTAGATCTTCAATACAAATACGTCGGAAACCCGACGTAGAATTATTAACAATGCATAAACAAGTGCAACTCAAACCGAAAAACTAATTAGAAACAAGCTTTGTCGGTTGAAAAGGTCCTGTAGAGCTTATTACACAAACCAATATAGTCTATTACCATGCAAAGATTGTCAGGTCAAATATATGAGTCGAAGTGGTAGAACAAAGTAAATCAAACTAGCGAAGCGCAGACACTTAGCAAAATCCAGTCCAGGTAACCCTAATGACATGCGATATCTGGAAAATAGTTCAGCCACGGAACTAAATGCAATTATACAACAGGATAGTAATATTAAAACAATTAGTCCCTTTGATAAATTTGAACAAGGCATTAAGAAGACAAATTTCGCGAGATGATATCATTTCGTAGTTTCTTTACAACCGCTTTACAACTAACATGGTTAACAATGATAAAATAAAGTTCATGAAAATTACTCAGTTAAATAAAAACAAAAGTACATACTAATGGCCAATCATATTAAGATAGGTCATGCAGTCCAGGGTAGGCGAAGATTGAAGTCTATTGATTTTTGTACACACAGTTTAGGCTGTATGTGATTAATCCAAAGTGCTTCCATCACCTTCAATAACCTTGAATTAGAGTTATGTGAAATAATTAAGAAACAGTCATTAATATTTATTTTGTGACCAGACATTAATAAGTGTTTTGCAATGGATGATGCTGGATTCCTATTAAGATTAATCGCGTTGGGATTTTCGATATGGTTTACTAGCCATTTTGGAATATGTTCTTTTCGACGACATTGGAACATTCTGTTAGTTCTACCTATATAGGTGTCACCGCAGCTGCAGGTGAACTTGTAGATACAGTTTAAGGTAGAGTCCACAGAATTTCGTCCTTTAATCGTAGGAACAGGGATCGAAAATGTTCGGCAAGTGAGAAAAAGAGATGCGGCGTAGAATGTGCGTTTGATGGCTGATCGAAGTCTTTGAGTTGTCAACTGCATAATCTGGTCGCCCTTGAATGGTAGATTAATAAAGATGGCTTTCTTTGGTACAGAAGCTGTCTTTTCGAGATGTGGTTTTTCTTTGCTGTGACAAGTGATAAAGCTCTCCGGATAACCATTAGCTAATAAAACTGAATGTACATGTCGAAGCTCATCCATCAGTGTGTCACTCGTGCATATTTTTCGGGCCCTTGAGAACAAACATTTCACTAGGGAACGTTTATACTGGATAGGAACAAAACTGGTAAAATGAAGATATTGTCCAGTCCATGTTTGTTTACGAAAAATAGAGCGCTGAATCGTTCCATCATTTCTCCTAGTCATAGTAATATCCAGGAAACCAAGTTTGTTATTCGATCCTAGTTCGGAAGTCACTCGAATATTTGGATGAATATGATTAAATAGAGTAATGAAGTTTTCAATAGATTCACTATTATTACCAATAATAAGAGTATCATCTACATAACGTTTATACAGCATAAATCCTCCAAGCATACCTTGCATTTGTTTCTCTAATTTCGACATAAATATATCTGCTAACAGGGGCCCCAGAGGGCTCCCCATCGCAACACCATCGATTTGTTTATATGCCTTTTCTTGGAATGTGAATCTAATATTTTCTGTACACATTAAGATTATGTCTTTGATGTAAGTGACGGGAATGGGTAAGTTTATGCCATTGCTTGTGATAGGTAGAACTAACAGAATGTTCCAATGTCGTCGAAAAGAACATATTCCAAAATGGCTAGTAAACCATATCGAAAATCCCAACACGATTAATCTTAATAGAAATCCAGCATCATCCATTGCAAAACACTTATTAATGTCTGGTCACAAAATAAATATTAATGACTGTTTCACAATTATTTCACATAACTCTAATTCAAGGTTATTGAAGGTGATGGAAGCACTTTGGATTAATCACATACAGCCTAAACTGTGTGTACAAAAATCAATAGACTTCAATCTTCGCCTACCCTGGACTGCATGACCTATCTTAATATGATTGGCCATTAGTATGTACTTTTGTTTTTATTTAACTGAGTAATTTTCATGAACTTTATTTTATCATTGTTAACCATGTTAGTTGTAAAGCGGTTGTAAAGGATAGCAATAGTTTTAATATCTAATATGTCATGGTGGAGGAACAGGCTAATAACGGAAGCCTTATTTGTCGAATCAACTAAAAAAAATGTGAAACAGAAATGATTTAACGCCTGCTTCGGATATCTGAAAAACTATACAACGACGAAAAGGACAGAATGAAGAAAAATGTGAAATAGAAGTTTCGGAGTTGTGTTATTATTTGATATGAATATTAACAATATATTTTTCAAGACGTCGTCCAGCAAAAAACATACTGTTTCAAAGTGTGTTTTACCTATCTAAACATATAATTATGCATATATATATATATATATATATATATATATATATATAATACTGCCACAGCTCCAAAGTTTTGCACATGTAATATCTACCTTATTTGGTTAACGTAGAGGTGAATTTTCTTAAGTCCAGACTTTGAATTAATCCTTTCAAAACTTAAAACTTCCCAGTTTTTCTGTTTAATATACTAACACTTCATCAGGTATTTTTATTCATGAGCATAGTATTATTTGCCTATTTTCCCTAACTCCCCAGCTAGCTGTAAATTTGGGTGAATTGCAGACACTTTGGGGCATACAGCAGACAACTGTCGTGCTTTCTGCAATACACTCTAATTATTTTGTTCGAAAAGTTTTCAGTAGAACCGAAGGAAATGCGGCGAAGTTTAAGAATAGGGTCCCAAAACCTTCAACGCTCAAATGACCTTGAACGCATGCTAGTCATTGGCTAACGGTTCCTGTCATTATCATAGCTGAAATATCAACCCTATTCATCAAATAAGGAGCAAGTTTCACCCAGATAACACTTTTATTACTGTTTGGACAATGTGTTAACATCTCGTTGGGGTTAGGATAGGGGTTAAGGCGAGTATTGTGGTTAGGGTTAGGGTTAGGGTTAGGGTTAGGATAGGGGTTAAGGATTGTGGTTAGGGTTAGGGTTAGGGTTAGGGTTAGGGTTAGGGTTAGGATAGGGTTAAGGATTGTGGTTAGGGTTAGGGTTAGGGTTAGGGTTAGGGTTAGTGTTAGGGTTAGGGTTAGGGTTAGGGTTAGGGTAGCGATTAGGAATAGATTTTTCGTTTATTTCAAGTTCTTTTGTTATCCTTATTTCCCTTGTATGTAGTTGCCAACGCTCTTACTGGAACCATAGTAACTAAACCGAGGGCTTAGGAGAGGACTACACAGCAATAGAAGAGAGATGAACCATTCTCAAAACAACACACCTTCAGTCTCTTTGGTGAATACATCTGCAGAAACTAGTCCAAATTAGCAACTGTTACTCTTCATCGCAACTGGAAAGTATTTTTAAGTCATATCAGAGAAATATAATCCGTTTAATCTTTTTTTCATGCATTTTTGTGTAAATATACGTAAAATTTTATGCAAAAATCGTCCTATTTTCTGATTGGTCGGCTCAAGGTCATTGTGCGTTCGCATCGCTTGGGACCCTATTCTTAAACTTCGCCGGAAATGCTAGGTAGCTTGCTGTCTGAGCATTTCAATGTCATCGGCGCGGTGGCACTTGTTTGTTACCTTTTTTTGCTTAATTTTCAACTTCTCCCATAGAGATCATTATACCATAATTAAAAAGTAAGAGCACAATACCCGTAATTCTTACATCACATCATCCCTTCAAACCAACCCAGTAGCTTTGCAATCATAGCGACCGCCTTCTGCTGTTGTCTTATCTATTGAACCTAGAAGTAGAATTGCGACCACCGCTATTCAAGTAAAATAACCACGATATCTACTCTCAGATGGCATAAGACAACTGAGCAATCTGTTGTATATAAGTGTTACATGGTCGTTTGTCCTGTGGTATCTTGAATAAAATAACAGCGAAAAATTGAAAATAATGGTGAAATTTCATGCACACTGGTATAAATTTGCGTGTATACAGTGTCATCTGTTGGGCAGGAGTGATTTATGTGTATTAAGGATATCCAAAGGCATTTCTGACTGTGGTCACACTTTCCCGAATTTACGCATGATAAAGTGTATATTTAATTCTTTTAGGAAGATGTAGGCCAAATACCTCTCTAGTACACTAGTTGAAAATGACCTGAAAGTGGTTGGTTGGACAACTAGTTTTATTTAAACGTATGTAACGGAACTTTTCAAACAGTTTGAATAGGAATAACGAGCTAAGGTCCCCCACTACTGATACTTCTGATATGTTTTCTGATTTAATCAACACTCTATTCAACAATGGCTTACCAATTGCTACTACAGGCTCTCTTCGACCACACCGTTATCATCACACAATTCGGAGTCAGACCTTGATTTCACATTTAGCTTATCGCTAAACCTGCTCACTGATTCACAGTTCATCTTTGTATGCACTTCTTGCAAACGTGTAAAACACAACTGTGTTTGTCTTGCATCTTGTAACTTATCTGTTGGGGATGTCTCACGAAAGCTGTTGCATTCACTAAGTCTATATGCATTACTAGACACCATACAGTTTTCTCGATATCCACCTCTATTAGAGCCTTTCGTCATAAGTGATTGCGTTTTGCCCTCAGACTTCTCAATTCTAGGGGTGAGATGCAATATACTGTCAAACTTGCTCATAGATTGATTGACACTATCTTTTACCAGTTTCAGAATACCATCGAACTTTGGCTCGACACCTTCATCCTCTGTACGAGAGCTTATCTTCACCCACTTCCTTTGCAGTCGAGTAGGTTGGCGTCTCGCTATTACTTCTAGGACAAAACTCGAGTTGAAGTCACTCATGCAATTCAACGAAATCAATGCATTCTTGTAAGTCAACAGATTATCCAAAAACTCAGAGAGTGCCTTGTAGCGATCTTGTAATTGACCACCATTACCTTTAACAGCCTCGAATATATTCCCTACAATCATCGAATGTCTTCAGAACCTCTGACGCAGTATACTCATAGCCTCAGAGTATCCCTAAGTAGAGGGCATGAGCTTACAGCGCTGTGTAGCTCTTGAAGCAACTCCAGTGCAGCACCTCATCAAATACATTAACTTCATCTCATCATTTATTAAAAAAACCACTCAACATGACTTCAAACTCCTTTACAAATTGTAAATAATCAGCCGCGTTTCCGTCGAAACACCATGGTTCAAATTTAGGGAGTTTGGTATTCCTATTATCCCTGAACGGCGAAACAGTAACATCAACCATGTCGTGCTTAACATCAGACACACCGTTACAAGTAACAGAGAAGTCACCATGACTTACTTTCCTGTTTGCATCCAAGACGCTCTGTCCCTTCTTTGACCCAGGCATTGTTGAACTTGACCCAATTCCAAAAACGTTCCAGATAATGCTTGTTTAAAAAGACTTGGCCGGCACCAGGAAAGATGAACAGTGACTATCGAAACGTCAGAAAATGTCACCAACCGTCAGAAGCTGTCAATCACGTCTCAAAAACCTTTAATGCCCAGCTCTTGCTACTCCGGGCCTCTCGCTGTCCCTCGAAGCCTTTCAGAAACGATTAGTACTAACGGGCGCAAAAACCAAAACACCGATTGCCGACTGGAGTATTTTTTATTCTAACACCAACATATAAGCAGCATAATAAACTAAGGTCTAAGAACAAATATTACAATAATAAATCACGATATTACTTCTGACGGTTTTTACGTGCTTTCTGAACAGCGACCGATGAGATGATGACTGGTGTATTGATGCCTCCGCGAAAATATAGGGAAGTTGGGTTTGAGCAAACAACCAGAAGTGATCGTTCAATCTTCAACTACATTGACAGGAGTTAAATGGACACCTGTGGAAAGGCCTTGGTTTTTGGGGCTTTTATCGGCTTTTGCAGTGAGACTATCTTGCTTGGCTCCGGATGCAGTGATGTGCTGATATTTGCAGGTTATCGGTAGTGGGAGCATCTACGTCTACTTCATGTGTGGGATCGGTAGATTTCCTAGGACTGTTCCCATGATCTCCGAGACCCGTTGCAGTGTTACTGCTCCTTTCGGATTTCCCTTCACGTTTACATAATTGATAACTTGGTACAATGCGAGTGTCACTTTGTGCTTCAGTGTGCTTCGATACTTCGGTGCTGACGCTATTCACGATTTGCGGTATATTCGCTTTCGTATCTAAGGTGTTCTTAGCTGCTAGTAGTTGGTTGGGGGGGTGTCCGAGGCCATTTTAACACTCTTGAATCTTGTAGTGGAGGCCTAAATACCCCAGATTTCCTAAATTGTTCGTTTATTATACAGCTGACAAACCTGAAGAGTTTGGGGCATGTTAGGTTTGACTCTATTTTATTTGGTTGACAGCGTGTACTCAAGAGTTTTGCAGCTCTTAACGAGGAGTGCTGAACCGACTTTATACACTCATTGTCAAGTATGTTGTACACTATGGCGTTCTGTTCAGAAGCGTCTTTTAGCAACTCCACTCGACAAATAGTTCATAGCGTTCTCTAGTTCCCTAGCATTTCCCGATTCAGTATGGGTTGGTTCAGTTATCAATTTAAAGAGTCTTAAAAAAGTGAGATCCTTCAGCTCCTTTTTGAGATGAAAGATCGTTTCCGGTACCAGGTCAAGTAGATTTAATTTCGTTTTGAGGTCATTTATGTGTAGCCGCATGTCGTTTATGATGCAGACCAAGTTAGTAATCTCTACCTTTTCTGACAGGATATCTCCCATGTGTATTGCAGGGGTTAGCATTATGTTGGAACCGTTTGTATTGGGTGAACTACTAATTGCAGGTGATTTAAGGGGTGTTACTAGATGAGCTCAAGCTATTTTCTGAAAGAATATTGGATAGTGGAGAGGTGGATTTCATGGTGAACAGAAGTGGACGATGCTTGTGAAACGACACGTAAAACGTGAAAGTAAGATAAAGAAGCGCAGTATGGGAGACAGAAGCATAAAATTACGGAAGAAATGTGAAAACTGTTATTTTAGAATAAGGTGGACGTATTTTGCTTATCTGCACGTTGAATTCTCACTCATCCACGTAAGTCTTCTTCCTTCAGTCAGTACTGTTTATGATGGCATAATGTTCTGTAATCAATATATTTTGTATTCTGTCTTGTTCAACATTCGTTCACAGCAAACTGGGTGAAAACAAAGCAGTAATGTAGTAGATTGGTTGGACTTATACGGCATGTTGTTTGAAATTTCGCTCGTCAAATTTTTGTCAATAATTTTCAATAAAATTTTGGTATATGTTTTCTGAATCGATGGGAATTCTCATTTCCTGGCTAGTTATGTTGGTGTCCGCGTCATGTAATCTGATGCGATACACTCTAAGCGTTTGGGTTGTAACGATTAGTTTTTCATTCTGAATGAGTCAAAACATCAGTATAATGAAAAAGATGGGCTAGTTGGAGGGTAGTGTCGTCTACACAAATAGTTTACTTCTTGTAGAAGCTGCAGCTTTCGAAATAATATCATTCAATGAAGACCACGTCTAAATGTGGCTATTTTCGTGTGAAGAACAGTACTATTTGGTAAAAGAATGCTATCAATACATGGGAATCACCTACAAATACTAAATTAAGAATATGTTTAATATACTCATCATTTCTACTTCTTTTGAACTACTTAGTCAAATGGAGATTCACTATAGTATGAGACTTACTAAGAGGTTTCGCGTGCGTTTCGGATTGTGAGGGCGATTGTTACTTCCCAACTGCCCACACCGTGGAAGTTGGTTGCGTGACCGCAGAGCCCAGGGGACGACTGCTTGGGGCCGGTCACACGCAGCAATCTACGAATGTTTGGCATGCGATTCGCTCCCGCCAAATGCAAGATGATGTTACAGGACTGGACTACATCGACGCCTAGTTTAAAAATAGGAAGTGAAGTGGTAGAGCACGTTGACCGCTTCACTTATTTGGGAAGTACCATCAGCCAGTGCCAACGGGTTGATCTCTGACGAAATCTCAGCACGAATACAGGGGGCTCGTTTCGCATTTGTTAGTTTACGCCGACTCTGGCGTAGACGAGATGTTCGACTATCGACCAAAGGGC